ACCCGTATTAATAATACTAAAGCAGAATTTATACGTTTCAATAGCGGCATTAATTCCCTAACCGTTATCTATTAAAATAAGACTAATTATAAAGAATTTATTAAATACCGCGACCAAAATAAGATTATAATTAATACTTTTATTATTAAGGACGACTTTATTAATAAGTAACTCTATAAATCAAAAATCAACTTCTATCTTAATAATAAAAAGGACTTGAAGGAATTTATGATTAGTAATAAGGCCGTACGTACCTAAATAAAATTATTAATTAATTATAAATTATAAAATAGAATTATAAGGGAGGAATATAATACTAACGAATAATATCGAAACTTTGAATAAATAACGAATTGTAAAACGGTCAACGATTAAATTAAAGTAAAAAAAATATATTATAAAGCCGTCGCTATGTTTACAAAAAAAACCTAAAAATTAAATTAATTAACTACAAACTTAATTCACCGTTATAAATGATAATTAGAATAAAGGAATCGGAAAGATTCTCGTCGCTAACTTATAATATTTAACTTTATTAATACAATTAAAATTATTCGCCCGAAGTAATATAATAGCGCTTAAAAATTCAATAAGGAAATAGCCGCCAATACTCTTAAATATATAGAAGTTTATAAAGACTTTAAATAATATAATATCAATAATATTCATTGTAGGGTTGCCGTCGGAAGAGGAAAACTCTATTGTAGTACCTTTAACGCTAGCGAAATTAGTATCGAATATAATAATTAGAAATATAATAGTAAAAAATTAATATTAAAAATAAAGATACTTATTACGACGGTAAGAATAAAAAGCTAAAGGGCTTTAATACTAAAAAGAGAAAACTCTTATTAAATAAATCCGAAATTGAACTACGTAAGAAGGGTAATAGTATAATATATAAAATATACAAAAAAAACTATTATTCTCTTAAAAATTAATAATATATTAACCTAAACGCGAAGCCTTTATACTTTAAACTGCACCCCTCCATTAAATATATTATTAAAACCAGCCTCGCGAAAAGTTTAGAGCTTGCTAAAAAAATAATTAAACTTTTTAAGAAGGAAGAGAAAATTAAGAAGGAAGAATTAACGTAACTATCGAATCGAGCTTACAAAGTAACCTTTTAAATGAATAAAGTATTTAAAATTAAAAACGAAATTTACCCTCTTAAAAACTTAGCGATATTCAATTTAAGTAATTCGCTTTACATATTTAATAAAATTACTCATTTCTTTTACTTTCGTTATATTAATCCAGATAATTCTTTGTAAGCTAATAATATTTAAATAGAAATTAAAGGGTTTAAGAAAATTAATATTATTATTAAAGGTAAAAACGGTCCCTTAAAATTATAATTAAAGGAAATCGCCTTCTATCCTAACTTTACTACTAACCTCGTCTCCTATTTCTAATTGCGAAGGTGGAGTTTCTATTAGGACTATTAACTATTAAATAACTATCTAAGGAAGGCTAATAATTTATTTTTTTTACTATCTAAATAGTATTTATAATTAAAGAATTATCGAAATTATCCCCCTTTTATTTACTAGAACTTCGTTCGTAGCGCACCGTTATTAAATTAATTTATATACACAACAACCTTCGAAATAATTAGTAGAAGTATAGTATCAACAATTCGGCCACCTAAATCCCTAAATACTCGACTATTTATAGAATATTGATAGAATACAACCACGCAATATACCTTTAATTAAATACAACGCGTATAGAATAGTAAAGATAAAATGATAAATTAACCGCGTTTCGAAAGACCGAAGCTACAGCCTAGGGGAAAAACTCGCCGTCGATTTCTTTAATTTTAAATTAGGACTCAAAAGATTATACTACTTCCTTTTAATTACCTATCGATAATTAAAATTAATTTAGGACTACTATTTATCGAACTAAGAAGCTATTATAATAGCCAATACCCTGGCTAACTATATCTAAATACTTAAGTACCGATATAGTATTAATATTAAATCTATTAAATTTAATAATAAATTTATAAGTAATAAAATTAAAATAGATTCGCCCGGTATAATATAATTCTTAAACTTTCTATTCCTAATATTTAAATATGAAATAGAGGGGTAGAATATTTAGGGGGTATAATTAAAGAAAAATACCGTACGATATTATTAAATTCGAAAATATTAGAAGATTTATAGCTAAAATTTACTTACGTAGCCATTTATTTTATTAATTATTCCCCTCGTTATTTATACAATTAGAAATCCCCCTTCGAATAATTCTATACCTATATTATAAATCAATATAATTAATAAAAAATTACGTAGATTAAATATAAGCCACCTTCGAATTTATAGGTATAAAGTATTTACTATAATAAGCGCCGCTTAGAAGAAGGAATAAAAACTTTAAAAATACAACCTAAAAGTTTAAATCAGGTATTTTATCGGCTATTTAATAACTTTTATTTACTATATATAAAATCCCTATACAAATTAGATTATTTACATTAAGCACATGATATTCGACGAAAATATTATTTATTATTTAAATATTAAAAGATTTAAAGACGACTTCAAAATTATTAGCGAAGAGTTTACTGATTTATTTAATAAAATAAATAAACCCGCTAATTAACCTTCGGAGGTATCCGAATTACCCTATATCGAAAACTGTACGCTACTAAATAACGTTAATAACAATAATATTAAACCTCTCCTATTAAATTTCTTTAATTAAAATTAAGAAAATTATTAAAGGAATTAAAAAATCTCCTAAAATAAAAATAGTTAGCTATAAGACATACTAATTCATTAATTTATTAATAATAAAATATCTATCGAATATATTATAAGTTTATACCCGTCGCCTCTATTTACCCCACTAACCGTACTCTATACCAATTATTTTATCGACCGAACTATCGACTAGTACGTTCGTTATTAAAAACTATAGAAACCGCTTTCAACATTAATAAATTAGGAAATAATTATTAAAGTAGAAATCGAATAATTAATTATAAAATATAATTATTTTAATAGAGTATACCGACGTAATCTCCCTCCAATACCTAAAAAGTACTACAATTTAAACAACTACATATTTAATTAATAATTTAAAGAAATAAAGGAAATTTACGTTAAAAATTATAAAAATATAAAACCGTAAATCAAAATGAATAAAGATATCCCCTACTTTAAATATGAATAAATCTTCGATTATATATAGATTTATATTTATAAATTTAATAATAATAAGATATTTAATAAAATAATAGCAAGGCTCGTCGTAAAAAAAGACTAGCAAAAAAAGATAAGAACTAACACATACGTATTTACCCTTATAAATCGATTATTTTATATTATTATTACTCTCGCTATTCGTTTTAATTTTGAATTTATTTAATACGACGTAATTAACGCTTTCGTAAATATTTATTTCGATAAAGAAATTTATATACGTATACTACTAAAGTATCGAATACCCGGAAAAGTTCTTAAACTTATTAAAGCCCTATATAATTTCCAAGGAATTCCGTTACTATAGTAACGAAAATTAAGCGGAATATTTGAATTGATAGGATTTAAAACGATCCCTAAAAACCCGTATATTATAAAAAAGGATAGTATATTTATATTATACTATATCAATAATATCGTCTTTACGTTCGATAAAAACAAGATAAAGGAAATTAGAAAATATATAATAGAGTTATAATTACGGTATTACCTAATAGGAAGAAATGAATTCTAATAGTTTCTAGGTATTAAAATTATATATAATCGAAATTAAAGAGAAGTCTAGTTATCTAAGAGGCATATATTAATAAAATTACTAAACTACTCAAATCTAACTACTGCCCAACCCTAGTACCTATAGGGTATAAGAAATTAATTCCTTATAAAAACACTACTAATTACGTAAAAATATAAACGTACCAAGTTAATATAGGTTCTTTACTATATGTAGTAATTAATATTTAATTAAATATTGTATTATTATTAAGTAAATTAATTAAATATAATTCTAATTCTAATCTTGCTTATTTAATGGCGAGTAAAAAGGTTATACGGTATTTAAAGATAATAAAAATATTGGTATTCTATTTTAGCGGGAGTAATACATTTAAAATTGCTTTTATATACTTCGTTTATTAATAATAAAAATAATTATAAAAGCTCCTAAGGATTTGTAATTAAACTATATAATAATTTAATTTACTAAAGAGTAATTAAATAGATTACAATTGCTATATTAATAATAGAAGCAGAATTATACGTAATTGAAAAGGTAGTTAAGGAAATCCTCTTTATAAACCGATTAATATTAATATTAGGGATAAATTTATTAGAGGATCTTATTCCTACTCTATATTATAATAATTAATAAATTATTAGGGTACTTATAGAAAAGACGCCTACCTTCAGTATAAAGATGAAGCATGTAGATATTTATAGATATTGGTTAAGGGGAGAAATTCTCGAGAAAAAGACTCTTAATATCGAATATTTGGAAATAAAATTAATACTAATAAGTAGATTAATAAAGGTAGTAAATATTCTAGAGCATAAGAAATTCAAAGAATTATTAGGGATAGTTGAAGTACTGCTGCGGGAAGATAGCGGAGGAAGAGATAATCCGGTACCGGGAGAGGTGGATTTCGATGATCTGGATGAAATATTGGGATTAGAGATATGAAACGACGAGAGCAATATATAAATAGCTTTACTTTTGACCTCAAAGAGGTAAAAGAGGTCTGTAAGTAAGGGGGTATATTAAATTCTAGGGTAGTATTCTAGCCAAATGTAAGCTAGATGCTAGAGTCCCAGCTACCTAAGTTAATAGGTCTTGGCAAATATAGGATACCCCCAGACCCCCAGACCTTCTGCAGAGAGAGCGCTCGAATCAATCACACAGATTCAATCAATCACACCAGTAAATCTGACAATAGTCACCGGTTAAATTCAACGTTCTTCACACGATGCTGTGCTGTTCAATTGGTGCCGGAGAAATGCCAACCCTCGAGTGCAAAGGCTAGCGTCGTCTACTTGGGTGAAGGCCAGAACCTAGAACTTCCTTTCCTAACAAGCTGAACCAAATGGATCGAGGGATTGTCGTCATCTCCCGTGGAAGTCAACATCAACTACCGTGTCCCCAGGCTTAGGGTTAGGGGTACAGCTAACAAAGGGTAATCACAGACGGAAACATGGAGACAGAGGGAGCACATTCTGCATTTACCCGCTCGCTAACAACTGTTATAGAAACCCTTGAGCGCATCCACCAAGCCACAGTTCTCCGACTAGACAATTGTTGCATGCCGGATGGTCAAATCGAATTCACACAGCGTATCCGGCGGCCACGACATTGGCCTGAACCGAGTTTTCGACCGCGTCGGATGGATAGCCGGTGGTCATAACCCCCTCGTAAAAGGTGCCCTGGGCCCCGTGACTGTTGTCGCCGCCGATGCCGAGTATGATAGCGCCCTCCTTCTTCATCGGGTAGTAGCCGGACGGACGCGGGCCGCTATAGTAGGTCGATAGCGAGCCGGAAGCCGCATTGCCGCCGCGGATCGCCCACAGATTGGACGAGTCTCCTTTGACGACCGCCGTGACGAAGCGGTATTTGATGGCCGGGTCGCCCCCGTTGTATTTGGCGTTCTGGCCAGAGAACAAGCCATTCTCCAGATCACCCATGATCCACGGTCCACTTCCCTGTCCCGTTCCCCAGACATTGCAGTTTCCAAAGTAAATGGCCTCCATGTGGCCAGCACCCGTGTCGGCACTGTTGGTCTCGGCGTTACCATAGTCGAAGCAGCAACCGCCGTTGTAGTGCGTCCCGTCCAAGACCGCGTACAGGCCCTCGGCCGCGTTGCCCGTGGCCGTGCCCTTGGCAGCGTTGTTGCGATATCCGGTGCCGGGCGCCACAAAGACACCGTACGCCTTGTGGCCGTTCAAGTAGACCGGTGCAGCAGTCGCGCTAGCTAGGTTGTCGTATCCTCCGGGGGCCGGGCCGCTGCCGGCGCTCCCGGGCGGTGCTTGGGTGAGGTGGTTGCCGCGGCCGGACTGGTCGTAGATGATGGAGATGACGCAGGTCGTCCCAGCACAGAATGAGTCCTGAGTGGCAGCATTGGCAACGCCGCCGGTGGAGAGCGGTGCTACATTGGTGGTGGCACCGTCGGCGCGTCGTACTTGGTAGAGCGAACCGTTGTAGGCACTATACAGGGCTCGAGTGGTGCTGTGTGCTGCAACACAAGGGTTTCCGGCCGCGCCGTAAAGGTCGCAAGGCCCGGCCGTAGCCGCAGCAACGAGGCCCAGAGCGAGTGCGCATGTGCGTCCGAGGGTGGACATCAGGGACATGTTTCTAGTTGATGACTTGTACAACAGTAGGAGAAGGATAGGTAGAGTTTGCCTAGAAGCCCGTTGAAGTCATCTGTAATGAACCATGACCGAAGCAGAACACAACCCTACTTAAACGCCCATGATGTACAAGTATTCCTTCCCCTTCGTCTGCTATCAGATGACGGAGTGATAGCTGGCAAGTCATCCGCCGCCCCTAGAAGCGCCAAGCTACTAATGGTGGAATAAATTAGGTTGTCTGTTTGACTGGGTAGTAGTCGGTATTTAGGTAGTGTTTCGATGGGACGTTATGTGAGGAGCATTGAATGTCCAAGTCCGTATAACCGTGCCAGTGATAATACACGGTTCACTCTGCATTGCTGTATCCCGGTTTTTGATCTTGCTCTTGATCCATATCTCCGTCTCCTTATGGCGGCTATCGCCTCCTTGTAACAGGTGCACCTCCGCTTGCAATGTTCTCCTCCTGGTGCTGGAAAGGAGAAGCAAAATCATATACCTTAACAGCATCCCACGGTTCCTGTTCCAGGTTCCACCAATCGGCTCGTCACACTCCGGGCATCGCATCCTCAACACGACGCAACATCATGTCCGTGAACCCCTCTTCCCACTAAGACAAGCTAAATGCGACATGTCCCGCACGCAGGTTGCCTTGAGCGGGCAGATTTGATCAAAGCTGAGGGTGAGGGTACGTAACAGAGGTTGGCGGCGTGCATCTTTGAAGACAGCCGCGAAAGTTGAGAGGTCTTCCTCATTGAGCGTCAAGTTGATGCGCGCTAAAGTGTGTGCTTCGACAAGATGCTGCCACTTTCGAGAGATTGAGGCATAGATTCCTGGCCGCGGTTTGTAGAATGGTCTCCAAAAGAGTTCATCGATTATGAGAGTGAGAATCTCGGGACTCAGCTTACCTTATCCATGAGGGTGGATTTTAGTGGTGGTTGGAGCGTGTGTTGGAAACATGTAGACTGGCGGTTGTACATTCGTAGGTAGATGAAGTTTGGTTGACATTGACATTACAGTGGGTACGCCTTATACAGGTGCCTAAATCTAGGTAGAGGCCCGGTACAGTGGGTACCACAAATAAACGCACAACCCACCCCGCATTTTTGGAAATCTTCCCCTCAACACCAAAAACCACCCTCTTTGTTCAAATGGCCCCCATTACCTCCAGCCCAATTAAAAAAGCAAAATTCAAGCACTCTACCCCTCGGAAAAGGAACCGGATTTTCGGTAGCTATTCGGCAGGGACCTCCGCCAAGGATGTGGCCCGTCATGAGGGAGTGTCTGCAACTGCTCAACGGTGCGAACTTGGCGATATGTCACCGCCCGATAACAGCAGACCGCAGGTCCTATTCTCTTGCCTTCGTACCTTATCATTCAAGAGGCCGGCTTGGGCTGCCCAAGAATGACATCAAGGACCTTGTGGTCATCGTACGCAGCAACGGTGCGCTCACACAGCATAGCGACCCGCTCCTTGCTCTGCAGACCATAAGGTCAAATCAACCAGATGGCATTGGTCATGAACGACCGACGGTACTCGATCATGACCTCGGGGTCGTTGTGTCGGTCGAACCTAGGCCCGCCCAGCCGGTGTAGCGTGTCGAGGTAGTGATCCAGGATCTCAAACTCGTGGGCACGCCGGTCCTCGACCGTCAGCATAGCCGTCATATGATAGACGATGTCGTGGAAGCACGACCCAAAGTGGAAAGCCGACCAGTCTAGGAACCCGATGCGCCCGTCCGCCGTGAAGTAGACGTTTCCGATATGCGTGTCGCCGTGGAGCAACGTGCGGAATCGCGGGTTGCGCTCGGCGAAGTACCGGTCCAGCGCCTCGTTGAAGCGCTTGCCGTCCATTAGATACGCCGGCAGCTTCGGTCGGCCGGGGAGCCGCACCGCCTCGTCCCAGGGCGCGCATAGAAACTTCATGGCCGGGTCGTAGTTGTTCCAGATCCAGGGGTGGTCCGCCTGGCTCTGACCCCAATATTGTGCGTGTAGGCCGGCTAGCTGCTCGACGCCGTTCATGACCTTGCCGACTGGGTAGGATGCCACCTCGGGCGGAAAGGTGCAGCCCGACTTGCTTAGGTCGTCCATGATGGAGATGCCTTGCTTGTCGTCCGTACCTCCCCACCAGCCCTTGGGGAAGATCATGTTCTCGAGGCCCGGGGCGACTTTGGAGAAGAAGTCCGCTTCACGCTGGGCTAGGCTGACTGTCCATGGCTGGGCCGCGATCATCTCGGGGTCGAAGACTCCTTTGATGCAGACGTGCTTGGGTCTCTCGTGGTTGCTAGCCATCTCGTCTTCGTACGCGATGGTGTAGAATAGCTTACTGCCCGTTCCCCAGATCGCGCGGGTATTCTCGATCGACTTGATCTTATGCCCAAGCTTAGAACCGAGCCATTCGGGAGTGATATCTGAAGGGACAGCGGGAAGTTGCTGGACTGCTGATTCCGTTTTCGACATGCTTATTTAGTGCTCCGATGTGATGATTGAGCAAGGTGAAGCGTTTTGCTAAAGATGATTGTGGCAGAACTTATGAGATACTTACCTCTAGATACCTCTAGGTAGGATTCAATGCGGAGTCTGGTCAGTTGTCAGTATTATGATGTACGGTAAGCACTAGTAGGTAGGATTACGAGTCCATGATACCTTACGGATGACGGTGCAGGAGACCTTCATGTTGTTTCCCCGCTCGGACTCCAAACTTCGTCTGCTCTCTCCAGGGCCGTCATACAACCTCCGGAGTCTGGTGATCCCTGCGTGGTGACGGGGCGCTGGCACACGGCGTCCGCGGCGTAGTGATGATGGCTGCCAACCTCCGAGCTGTATCGGAACTACCGGCACCCATGGTGGAGCACCGAGACAACTTTGCTCAGATCGTGCCTCCGGAAAAGCCTCTCTTAGAGTTTGGGCAGAGCATCGAGGATGTTTTCATCAGCAATTAAATTGTCTCGACCACCTGCGCCTACAGTTTGACGTGCCGTCTACTGTCTTACAAACTAAGGTACCTCTACCCTTACTATACATAAACTCCACTGTCTATAGATGTAGCAAACAACCCCCGTTCTTGTGCCCAGCCGGCCAGCCGTGCCAGCCGTGCCGCCTGCGTGCCGGGCTGGGCCCACTTCCCAACACCGCCTCCCTTAGCTAGCTTTTCCCCGCGTTCGTTCGAAGCCTTGTCTTCCTTCTGAATACAACAACTTCTCTCTCGCCTTCTTCTTGTCCCTACTATCGTGACGGTCCAAGACTCGTACTCAAAATGCCCGATTTGGACGCACCCATCTACCCCAACATTCCCGAATCAGAGGGCTGCGCCCTCCATGTCACCATCTACATCGACCCGAACAACGTGAAGGCCTTCTTCGAGGCCTACAGACCCGTCTACGACGGATGTGTCTCCGAGAAGGAGTGCACCTTCTTTTCGGTGTATCAGAACCCTGAGAACCCGGGGCAGATATCGTGGATTGAGCACTCGTAGGTCTACCTACCCCTCTCTCTAGATTAAGATTCAAAAGTAGAATGAGAGAGAGCCTTGGGTCGGAGATAGGGATGGGGTGGAGAAATGTTATTTGATAAGGTAGTCGTGGACGTACGTGTACTGACAGGCGGGATTGATTGCAGGACTAAGAATCCGGAGTGGTTGTTCAAGAACCAGTTTACGAAGGAGTACTACAGGGAGTATTTCAAGGTCACGGAGGCGATGTTTGTGAAGCCGAGGGAAATTAAGTGGTTTAAAAGGGTGGAAGGGTATACTACTGTGAAGGAGGAGTGAAGAAGGCGTATGTGGCAGTGGGAAGATGGAAGACCTTGGTTGATGTGAATGGCTTAGGCAGAATATGGGATATCGGAGGCTCGAAGTAAATAAGCCAGCGTCCATATATGAGACTGCTGACTGAACACCTCAGCTTAGTGGTTAGTGGTGGCGATGCTTCACAAAGGGCCTCCAATACATGTACGCTCAACCGAAGAAAGACTGGCGTAATTTGCTTTTTTTCAAACATGAAGTGAGAGAGAGGGATATGAACCAGACGAGTTTGGACGAACTAACACGCGACCGTTTCCATTCCGACAAAGTTCAAACTGTAAGGACCGGCTCCTAAAATCAACTACATCACATCTAGACCCCAAGTCTACGATAACTACCTAGAGGTAGGTACCAACCCATTCTCTTGCGCCCAGCCGGCCGGCCACCTGCCTGCCGGGCTGGGCCCACTCTCCAGCACCACCTCCCTTAGCCAGCTTTTCCCCCGCGATCGTTCGTAAGGTAGCCTTGTCTTCCTTCTGAATACAACAACTTCTCTCTCGCCTTCTTTGTCCCTACTACCGTGACGGTCCAAGACATCCTCAAACGCAGACATTGTCTCCAGAGCGACCTTTGCCGACAATCTCGACGCTACCGTCCCACTTGAAGTAGCTCGCCTCGTAGCGGCGACAGGTGGCGTCCATCTGCTCCAGGGCGTAGTTGACGTCGTCGACATCGAGGTTGCCGCTGCTCCGCGGCGCGTCAATGCAGTAGTAAACCATCATGCCCTCGGCGATGAATGCCACAAAAGTGTTCTTGTCGCCGCTCGACAGCGTATGGCCGCTGCCTGCCTAGCTCTTCAAGCCCACCACTGCAGCGTCGACTCCGCTATGATCGAGATCATAGCCGAAGCAGCCTACGTAACGCTTGGCCACGGGCGCCCCGGACCTTTTCTGGGTGGTCGGCTCAACGAGGAATGACTCGCTATCCGGAGCGCCCGCGGGCTTGATGGAGTACGTGCCGTTGGCGAGCGTGGTGCCCTCCCAGGCACCGTTGGGCAGGTGGATGGCTGTGGCAAGGCCAAAGTAGGAGGCGAGGAGGGCGAGAGTTGAAGATAACTGCATGGTGATAGCTTGAAGGGGGCAAGTACAGGTAGATTCAGCCTTTTCCGAAGGTACCGGTAGTTATGGCGCAAAACTTTTGTTGAGGCGTGTTGAGAGCGATGGATGACGGGGAGGAGGGCTGATGATGGTCTCTGGAGAGAAAGATAGAATCGTTCAAGAGTACCACCGCCCTGCCTTTTATACATCTCTGTGTACTCTCAACTCTATGCCTCTTCCACCATAGTCTCGGACGAACAACTTGCCGGTCAAGCCTCTGACGTGTCAATCATTCTGTGCATTGAAATTCCGGATGACATGGTCAGCAAGAAGGTCAGCAAGAAGGAAGAAGCTACCTAGCCAGCCAAGGGAGCCCACCCCCATTGCTGACTGTATTGTTGTCCCTGACTCTGACAGCGAATCTAACTCTGAGGGAGGTGCTCATATCGATATGGAGTTAAACTCTGACTCTGACTCTGGTCTTTCTGTCTTATCCGCCACTCCCTTCCCGCCCTCGTCACCCCTCTTTGTTCGCCAGTCCTCGCCCCCCGCTCGAGAGCAGTCACCTCCCGTGATTCCCTACAACGACGCCACGCATTTCGATGGGGTATACCTCGGTTATGGCTCTCGAGAATCGGACTTGGAGGAGCATCTCATCCCTCTTCATGAGAGGGAGCCGCACATGCAAATCATGGCCAAGGACAACGAGACCCCAGAGCCGCCGCTCACAGAGGAGCAATGGCAAGTCCACCTCGCTAAGGAAGCACAAGACTAGAAGGAGGCCGCTGCTTACACCCTTTCCCCCCCCCCCCTCCATACTGCTTCTTGAGGAGACTACCTCGTGAGATGGAGCCCCCATATGGGGTTGCCTTCGGTCCTACTCGTCCCTTAGTATGGCGACGATGGGGGCAGTAAGAACCCCATCGTGATTAGTGACGACGAGGAGTAGAACAACAAGGGTAGATATCACCAAGTAAATAGGTAAACAAGAGACGGATTTGCACTGCACGGCTGGACTTGGCTTGCACTCAACACCACGAAAGTTTCACGACTCTGGCGGTCATAATAAACTTGTCGATTTTAGCAGGGGTGCCAGAAGACACGAGAAAACCAGCGCGATTTTACCATACAAAACGACGGTTTTTACATGTCAGCTGGCATTGGTGGATATATGGGTGTAAGGAGGAAAGGTATGGGTGTGGGTAAGGTAGGTTTTCTCCTCTTCTTCGCTTGATCAGCAGCACAGCGCCTAAGCCTGTGCCAAAAAGAATGGTAAAGAGTCTGAATGCAGCATCAAACCACGAGTGGTGGCGGGAAGACGCGTATGATGACCAGTCAAATGATATTTGCAGGAGCAGGGTCGCACTCATACAACGGCGAGCTTACTTGGGGATGCGATGGTCGTCGTCGTCGTCGTCGTTGTCTTCGTCGTTGTTGCTGTTGTCGCTGTTGGTAGTGGTGTGGTGAGAAGGTTGAAGTTGGGAGAGTAGAGGAATCGATGGGACTTTGGCATTTTGAACTCCGTCTCTTTCTTTTGGCTTCGACGTCACTCTTTCTCCCATTACACCTTCCTAACCTTCTCTTTTCCATCGTCCCTTCCCAAAAGGGGAGTCTCTTCAACTCTCACTAGTTCCCGTAAGCGGCATGCCGCTAAAGTTTTCCATTGCATCTGGGCATGTCCGGCCGAAGAATAGGGGTGGACGGTTAACCTGGAGGATCTCAAGGGCACCCTGACCCACACCTCTGCCTCCAATCTGGAACTTCCTCAGTGAACCTCATTGGCGAACCGAGTAATTGTCATGGCCACTGGCACCTCACTCACCCCAAGCCGCCTTTGGCCCACATCAAACAATGCGTATTCGGTTCGTGACTTAACAGCGCTGAAAATAGCCCAAGCCGTTACATCGTCAAGTTCGTTTTCAAGTTCGTTTTCAAGTTCGCTGCCTCGATTGCCCACCGCCTGGAGTTGAGTAGAGGTAACATCGAAAGGCGGTGATCATTACCACTAGGGATCAATGTTGCAACCACGTCCGCTTTGGCGAGACGTGGTAAATCAATCTCGTGTTGAGGGAAAGTCAGCTTGGGGTACGTAGTCAGATGTGTCTCTGCGTCGCTGCGATCTATCCCTCCATAATTCTGACCATACGAACCTCCTGGCCTCTTCTCTTCCCCGGTATGTCTTTGTCTACCTCTCTCTCTACACGTACATGTCTTCACTGTTCCTTAAACTTTGAATTCAGTCACGACATTTGTTGAAGTCTAATAAAGCCTTTTGCCCATCTTTGTCTTCGTTCCACTTCTATATCTTCCACTTCAACAACATTCGCTGAAAGTAATGCTAATGCGTATATATGGCACAAGCGGCGTGGGCGTGGGTGTCGTTGTCCTGACGCTGTTCTGTCGGCCCGTGCCGGTGGCGGCGGCGGAAACGACATTCCTCAACCACGCCTCACTGTTGACCGGCCGTGAGGATCCTGACTGGTTCGAAGAAAACATAGCCTTTCTCGACGTACCTGACGTACAAATCCAGGCAGTGTACTACTACCGTTGCCAAACCTACAAGGAGCATCTTGTCTACACTGGTGCCCAGTATGGGTACATGGCAAGCGAGTTTCTGCACCCGGTTGACTACGGCGCCCCCTACGGCGGCGTGGTGGCCGCCGCCGGACATCACATAAACGAGGGCCGCTGGCTGCGGAACTACCAGTACGGCCAGGACATTGCCAACTATTGGCTGGCCGGTCCCGGCACGTTCTCCAAGCCAACCACAGACAAGGTCAACGCCGACACTACCGACTGGGCCCATGAGTACAGTTTCTGGGCTGCCAGTGCCCTCTGGCGTCAGTATCTGACCACAGGCGATAGAGACTTTGTTGTGGGCCAGCTGGAAAACCTGGTTAAGCAGTACCGCGGCTGGGACAACCACTTCAACAGTGCGATTGGCCTGTACTGGCAGGTTCCGGTCTGGGATGCCACCGAGTACACAGCTGCGTCGTACGAGTCGAGCGACCCATACCATGGCGGTGCTGGCTAGCGACCGACCATCAACTCTTACCAGTATGGCGATGCCCGCGCTATTGCCGCCATCGCCGCCCTAGCCGGCAATCCGGACCGCAACACTGAGTACACATAACGCGCTGATGCACTGCAGAAAACGGTGCAGCAAACCTTGTGGGACACGAAGTCCCAATTCTACAAGCATCAGGCCCGCGATAACAATCCGTCTGGAGCGCTGCTAACGACGCGCGAGATCATGGGCTACTTGCCGTGGATGTTTAATTTGCCCACGGCCGCCAGTCATACTGCAGCCATTGCGCAGCTGAAGGACCCCCAGGGCTTCTCCGCCAGTTACGGGCCCACGACGGCTGAGCGCCGCAGCAAATGGTATCTACACGAAGCCGCTACGTGCTGCCGGTGGGACGGTCCTTCGTGGCCCTTTGCCACCTCGCAGACGCTGACGGCGGTGGAGAACCTGCTGAACGACTATCCCGCGCAGACGTACTTTTCTGCGGCAGACTACATCAACTTGTTAAGAGGGTACGCTGCGACCCAATACAAGAATGGCCAGCCCTATGTGGCCGAAGCGCATGATCCTGATGCAGATGCCTGGATGTCTGACTATGACAGGTCCAACCACAGTGAGGACTACAATCATTCTACCTTTGTGGACAACATCATTGCCGGCCTCATCGGTCTGCGTGTTCAGCGCGACGAAAGCTTGGTGGTTAACCCGTTGGCGCCTCCCTCATGGGACCATTTCGCGCTAGAGAACGCTGCCTACCACGGCCATAGCGTGACAGTTCTATGGGATAGCACCGGGTCTCACTATGGTCAGGGCCAAGGCCTGCGGGTCTATGTCGACGGCACCCTCGCCGGCAGCCGTAGCACTTTGGGGTCTCTGACAGTCAACGTCGGTCCCGTTGTGCTGGCCCAGACCATCCGGTCACAAGTCAACATCGCCGCAAATGGCCAAAGGCTCCCCCAGGGCACCACGCCCTCTGCCTCCTACACCTCTCCTTACGACGATGTCTGGCGAGCGATCGACGGCATTGTCTGGCGCACCGGAATCCCGTAGAACAGCCGCTGGACCTCCTATGGCAGTCCCAATGCGCGAGACTACTTCGCCATAGACCTCCGGCGACCTCAAGCCGTCTCGGACGTTAGGTTATACTTTTACGACGACGGCGGCGGCGTTCGGCGGCCGGCCAGCTACGACCTCCAGTATTGGACCGGCAACGCCTGGCTCACGGTGCCCAACCAGCAACGCAGCGGGTCCGCCACTGCTACCTCCAATAGCCAGACCAAGATTACCTTTCCGACCATCGTCACCTCGCAACTGCGGGTGGTCGCGCCCAACAACCCAGGCGACGGCAACGGCTGGGGGCTGTCCGAGTTTGAAGTCTGGACACGGGCCGTATTCCAGCTGCGCAACGAGAACAGCGGCAAGCTCATGGGGGTCGACGGCATGTCGACGGCAAACAGCGCGAATATCTAGCAGTACGACGACAACGGCACGCGCGACCACCTGTGGCAGTTTGTGCGCGCCCCGGGCGGCTGGTTTAAGATCAGGAACCTCAACAGTAGTCTCTTGCTGGGCGTGCAGGGCGCGTCGACCGCTAATAGCCCCGTGCTTCAGCAATATGAGGACAACGGCACCAGCGACCATCTCTGGCGAGTCATCTCCTCCCAAGGGAATAATGGCCTTTTTTTTGCTAAAGAATGAGAAAACCTCAGCACACTCCAAAACCAACCTACGCGCACCCTAAGTCCCAGCTCTATACGATGGTTTTTCAGCCATTCTTCGGCCCTATATTCCAAAAGTAGTTTTCACCGTACGTTTAGCTCAAACCTCATCTTTTAAGACTAAAACATCTTTTTTAGCTTATTTGGTGGATGTGTTGTGGCCGTATTGTTGTCCTAATTGCAAACGCTGGCGCTACAAATACAACTACAGGATTAACGGCCACCGAAGAGTAGAAATAAGAAAAAAAAAACGTAAGTTGAATACCCGTTGGGGAGAGTGGAATAATTCCTGTCTATTCCCCAACTCTACTAGGCAGAGTTGGTCACAAAACTACCGGACATCACAAAACCACAACGGATAGCAAAAATCAGGCATTTTCTATAGCGATTTTCTATAGCATTTAATTACACAACAATCAATAATCCAAACATAACCAAAACTTATATATAGGTTTATAAGTAGTTATATGACGTAAATATAATCTTTATCTTATCCTCCTACTTAAACTATAAGTTCTATTTCTATTTTATTATAAGTACAAAAATTAAGTATTTATATTAAACATTCTATATAATTGTAAGATGTGTACAACCTTTCTATATATTAGTATTAATATATAAGCGTATAGCTGCTATATTATAAACCTTAAGCCCTATTTATAATAGAGTATTAATATTTTTCTAAAATGATTTTTGAAATTCCAGATAATAATTATTTTGATTATAATGTTATATAATTAGTCCTAAATAGTTATTAAACCGTACACTATATTAATTCTAATATATTTAAGGTATTTTAAATATATACTAATTTTAAAAGTTGATATATAAATTATTTCCATTTTTATTTAACTTTTATTTATAATTATTAATTATTTAATATCGAATTACTTATTTTAACTACCTTAATCGAACTAATTGCCTTAATATTCCATTTATATATTAACCGCAGCTAGTAACTTAATTTAAAAGTGGTAGAATTATTTATTTGATATTCGATTTAACTATATTATTACCTTCCTTGAATTAATTACCTTGTTTAAATTAATTATTTTATTATTTTATTTCTATATTAACCGTAATTACTAATTTCGTACGAAAGTAATTAGTTTGCCTACCAAGCATTCGAATCGATTACGTTATTATCCTATTCGAATTAATTACCTTATTTAAATTAATTACTTTATTATATTACTTAAACTTATTATTTTATTTTATTATTACTTTATTTATATATTAACCGCGGCCGCCAACTTCGTACTAGGGAAGGGGGCTTACTTACCCGGCACTCGAATCGATTACTTTATTACCCTACTCGAACCGACTACCTTATTCGAACCGACTACTTTATTACCTTATTTAAACCAATTATTTTATTCGAATTAATTATTTTATTATTCTACTTATATATTAACTAGAACTACTAACTTCGTATAGGGATGGGGGGCTTACCTACCCATTATTCGATTCGACTACTTTATTACCCTACTCGAACCGATTACTTTATTCGAATTAATTACTTTATTATCCTTATTAAATCAATTATTTTATTACTTTATTTATATATTAATTACGGCTACCAATTTTATATAAGGAAGGGTAACTTATTTACCTAGTATTCGAATCGACTATTTTATTATTTTATTTACATATTAACTACGGCTACTAACTTTATATAGGGGAGGATAATTTACCTACCTAGTACTTAAATTAATTACCTTATTATCTTATTTATATATTAACTGCGGCCAGCAATTTCGTATAGGGGAAAATAGCTTACCTACCCTAAATTAATTTACCTACCTGATATTCGAATCGACTACCCTACCCCCATGGCCGTCAAAATCTAGCTAAGTTAATATAAAAGTACGACGGGGGAGTTAAATTTAGTAGCTGTAAATTAATTTTTAAAATTTCCTATACAAATAAATTTCGCAGAAATTCGAAAGTCGCGATTCAAACAATCGGACCGCACCTTCCCTAAACTAACGGTCGCAAAGTATATAAAAAAAGAAAGCAAGAACGACCGGCTAAAGTAGAAACGACCGGCCAAAATAGGTAAAAACGACTAATTATATATAAAGTCGCTTAAAGGGGTCTCTTAAAGGAGAAAATATTATAAGGCCGCTCAAGGGGCCGCATAAAGGACTGCCCAAAAGGACCACTCAAAGGGGTCATTTAGAAAGTAAAATACTATAAAGCCGTTTAAAAGGCTTACTTAAAAGGGTTATCTAAAAGGTAAAATACTATAAGGCCGCTTAAGGGGACTATTTAAAGGGGTTATCCAAAAGGTAAAATACTATAAGGCTACCTAAGGGGACCGTTTAGAAGGGTTATCCAAAAAGTAAAATATTATAAGGCCGCTTAAGGGGCCCGCTCAGAGGGGTTATCCAGAGGGTAAAGTACTATAAGGCCGCCTAAAAGGCCTGCTTAAAAGGGTTATCCAAAGGGTAAAATACTATAAAGCTGCTTGAAGGGCCGCCTAAAGGGCCGTATAAGGGGCCGTATAAAGGACTATACAAAGGGACCGTTCAAAAGGGTATTCTTAAAAAGTAAACCGCCTAAAAGGCCGCCTAAAAGATTATTTAAAATGGTTCAATACTATAAAGCTATTATAGGAGAATTATTTAAATATTCCCAAGTACTTTTCCATAGGGTAAATTTTAGGATCTATATAATAATAGATTTAAATTTAGAATAGTTAACTTCCGGTTCCAATTAATAATAATAAATAAAAGTTTATAACCTATTTTTAACCTTCTTAATAAATTCAAATTCCTATTCTACGCTTTTTTCTACGGGAAGGCTATTAGGACGTAATTTTAATACTTTCCTATAGACTTTTTATTTGCAAAAGGGTTATTAGGGCGTAGTTTTAATACCTTTCCGCAATTCTATAATTTCTTATAGCTTTAATTAAATGTAAAAATATATATAATTATATTTAGGATTAAAATATAAATTACCTTGGGATTAATATTCTTACTTTCGTATTAAATATAGAATGGACGTCTTTAAATCTTCCCTTTTATAAGAAAACTAATTTAAGCCGAAGATTTATAATTTTATTACAAACTACCCTAATACCATTCTTCGAACGGTATTTAAAAAAATTTTATAATAGGCTTTATCTTTAAAACTAAGAATATTAATTAAATTTATCGCTAGGCTACTACTTTAATATTAGTTTATAAATATATTTTGAAAAGGTATTACTCTACGGATAATATTTAGGAAAATATTAGATTAAACGCTGACGGATAGATTATATTTATGATACTAATATTATTAACTAGATTTATTAATAAACTATATAAGTATTATAGGAGGTAGGGAAAGCGGAATTAAACTACCTACCCTTAAGTTATACGTTCGGGCCGCTAATAGGATAAATTTAGTACTAATAACTATTCTAACCCTAGCATCGCTTATAATTAAATTATATAATAAAGATATTTAAAAGAATTCGGATTCAATAATAAAAAGTAAAATTCTTAAATTTATTAAAGATCAATTATTGCAAAAATATTTATTAAAAATATTTTTATTAAAAAAGAATAAAAATTTAAATTTCATAAAATATTTAAATCCCATTCTAAAAAAGTAAAGAGAATAGATCGAATTTAGAAGTAATAATTAAACCCTTTAGCCTATCGATCGTTTAATATAGGAAAGCAACTTATAAAGGAAATTTTAATTTTAATTTTTATAATAGTATAACGAATAACTCCCTACAATCTGCCGGGGTAGTAACGCTATATATATTACGCCTCCCTTTAACCCTATTCTAAATTTATTTAATTAATATCTAAGAAAAATATTTCTAATATTAAAGAATACCCTATAAATATTAACAGTTTAAATCAGCCTATTAAACGAATAATTAAATTATTAATGATTTTAATCGTTTCAGACCCAGCCTAACTAACGGACTAAATTAAGGTTAGAATAATTAAATTAATTAAAGTATTTTGCCCGTTTTGGACCCGGCCCAGCTAACGGATTAGGTAGGGATTAAAATAATTAATTTGACTTCGGAACCTTAATAATTCTAGACCCGGGCCGGCTAACGGGCGGGGTAGGGATCAGAATAATTTAGGATCCGAATATAATATAGAATTAAATCTTTAATTAATTTCATAAACCTACCTTATTACTTTAATTAATACTTATATCTTCTAAAATAAATTTAATCCTTAATCAAATTTAAACTTACCTTATTACTTTAATTAATATTTATATCTTCTAAAATAAATTTAACTTTTGTATATATTGTCCTTCTAAATTTATCCTAGGTTTTAACTCGTTAGAAATTTTTACTAGGATTAAGTAGTAATTCTTTAAATGGAAAATATATCCTAACCTTTATATTCTACCCTATTCAAAGAATTCCGAATTATGTAGGAAGTTTTTTTCCTTACGCTATTAGGTTAGTAGCTTAAAGGTTACTACCTAAAAGTGTAGGAGGAAAATTAGGTTAATTTAGGACTTAAAGTCTTAATTAACCCTCCCTACGCTATTAGGCTAGTAATTTAAGAATTACTATTTAAAAGCGTAAATGAATAAAAATTATTTTACTCTCAATTATAGCGTAATTAAATAATACGAATATAAAGTAATAATTATACTATTTAGTTAATTTAAATTAAAAATAAGAAGTTAAAGAAAAAAGAAACTTTAGAAGGGAAGGCTAAATAAAAAGAATTGGGTTTTATACCCTAAACTCTAGGAAGGAGCTAAAACTAAGCCTAGAACCTACATTTAAACTACCCGTAAATAGAAACTACTTCTAAAAGCTACCTATAAAGGGGATTTATAAAAGAATTTATAAAAAAATCTATAATGATTAGTATAGCCGTTATACTCTTACTAACAAGTAACAATTTTAAATTAACCGCCTTACTTACTTATATATAAGGGTTTTATTATTTATTAATTTGTTTCGTATTTTTTTTATGTATAAATTCTTTATATTTAATATTATTTATTTATCTTATAACTTAATTATTTTTTTAAAATTCAAAATGGGTATTATAGGGATCTACGAAGAATATTAAATATCGAGCACTATAGGATAAAACTAGTATATTTATTATATCCTAAATATTAATAATAAGAAGAGGAAATTTAAAAATCTAAGGCCTAACTTAATTTAAATATTAGGCTTAGGATAAAGGTTCTTAGAACCTTTATCCTAAGCCTAATATTTATCGGACTTCTACGAATTAACTAAAATATTCTACAAAGTCCGGGAAACTTTTAAATTCTTATATTAATAGGCTAACCGCTTCTTATATATATTACTTTTATTAAAAAAGAAATATTCATTTATTTATTATACATATATTTTGTTTGCTGCGGTGCCCTGACTGGCCTATAATGATAGCACCAGTACAAGGTTGCTACAGTGAACTATGCACTTGTAGCAGAGCGGA